CGACTTGGATACATTTTACAGGCTCTCAGGTGAGAAAAGAAGTTGGAGCGAAGCAGGAGCAAACTGTAAAGTTAGCTAGCTACTGTTAGCATTATGCTATTACCGGTTAAAGAGGCAGCAGTGAGAGAAGTGCGTCCGCAGATACAGCCAACTCGATGGAAAGTTTATTAATGGTATATTTAAAAACGAGAATACAACTAGAAGAGTTTCATTTCGAATTTTAAAATAACCCCTTAAGAGGACGAAAAATAACCGTACTTATCTGTGTATTTATTGGTCCTACTGCTGTTACAGCTGCATGCAGGGGCGGAACCTGAGGGTGGCCATCACAGACTAAACCCCTGCTACCCTCCATCCTTGTATATTTGAAGTCAGTGATTTTGGCAAACTAACTAACTTGGATTTCAGTGCTTGTAAAAACATAAACTGCACAATTACTTCAAATTTGCAGAAGTAGCACATTAAATATGCTTGCAAAGCAATTGGTGTCCAGTAAAGCAGTGTTTTAAGTTGATACAGTTTTGATTTGTTTATGTTTCTTTTAAGGGACAGTAGCTAATTTTTCAAAGTACACGGCAATTTTTGTGACCATGTGTTTATTTTTAATCCATTCTCCTTAGACAACATGACATCAAAGAAGACGACACTTCAGTGAGGAGGTTTCTCCACCGAGACACAGACATGTATCGGATGGATGCAGAGGTCGAGTATTTGGACAAACACAGATGAACGTGCAGCACAGACGTGTTGAGCAGCATGTGACCGTGCTGTAATATATCTTATAGGTCATAGTGACTTTCTCAGACTTTGAGAAGATGGAGCGAATATGTTGCATCCTGCTGGAAAAGCTAGACAAGAGCGTTTCTGTGGGGACACCAGAGTTCTACCACAGCGCTGAATGCCTGAGTCAAATGAGGTATGAAGAAAAACAAAAACACACACAATCGTACCTCTTTATTATTTTCATTAAATGGTGTGATTGTAACCAGCCTGTGTGTGCTGCAGGCTGCGTGCCTGTGTGTCTGCAGTCGAGAATGCTCAGATGAAGGCCAGCAAAGTCAGTCAGCTCCTGGGACAAAGTCTGGGACCCCCTCTGCTGGTTAGAGAGGACGAAACCAAAGAGTGGAGGAACAATGAGGACAACGGTGGTGGGGAGCAGGGGTCTGCAGCCCCGTCTCACTTTCCCATCTTACCTGCAGTCACTGCTTCCTCGCAGGTGTCCGTCTCCTTCAGCCTCAGAGACACGAGCAGGAAAATGAGATGACAGATGTAATGCTTAAAAAAAAGTAGTTTTAATTCAGCCAACACTTTCTTGAAATAAAAAAATAATTTTATTTTGACTTTAAAAGCAATTTAAAGAATCTCAGTCTGTCAACGTTGTTTTTTTACATATTTGGTAGACACTTTAAATTATTTTGTATTTGTAAACTTCAGAGAAATAAATGTAATTCAGAAACGTAATTACATTTCTTCATCTTTGATCATTTATCTTCAACTCCGTTAGAGGCAGGATTCGATGGTCACTCTTAACTCCTATTTTTACTTGAGCGGGTCGATGACTCTTAAAGACGGCATTTTGTGTCCACTCGTTGGACTCCAGTAGACAAACAAAAAGAAGAACCAGGCTGAAGAAAACCACAGAAGCCAAAGGATAAAACTGTCTCTTGGCTAAGGCTTTCATACTCCAGAGTCAAAAGTCCTCGCCCTCATCATCCTCCTCGTCTTCTGGGTAGAGCTCTCTGAGCCAGGGCTGCATAACAAAGCGTTTCCCATTAAAGTGCGTGAAGTAGTTCTCCAGGGTGGGAATGTCCGGCTGGAAACATCCAACAGTAAGCCCAAGACCTATTTTAATATATATGATTGTATGGGCTGTGATTTTCAGGACTTACCCTCATCCCTGTGATGCGCTCCAGCTGTGTCTGGGGCAAGTATGCAACTATGACAGAGGAGGGTCCAGGTCCTCCAAAGATCACCTTGTAATGAGGTGTCTTTTCTGCTCTTGTGTCCTATATGAACACACGCTTCC